ACTTTTCCTTTCTGATCATTGTATTCAAAAGTCATGAGTCCTTTTCTGATATCAATATTAGCTTTGATTTTGTTCAAAAAGTCCATTCCAACAATTACTGAGTATGTTTTTGCTTCAGTAATATCTACTTCAGTAGGAATTACGATTCCATCAATATTCAAGAGTAGGTTGTCGATAGCTCCAAGAGGTTGTTTAGATACACCATTTATATCAGACATTGAAATATTTGAACTGCGTTGAATTTTTAATCCTAGATCTTTAATAAAGCTATGTGTAGCAACACATCCAGAGGCACCAGTATTAATGATTAAATCAATGATATTCTTTCCAACTTTTGCTTCACACCAGACAGATGTGGTTTTAAGTTTTTGTCCAAGTAATACTCTTCTTTTTCTTTTTGGCTTGAGGGTTGTAGTATGGCGCATTCCTTTTGATAATTGAGTTCTTTGTGATGGTGAGGTCTGAATAAGCTGAGCGACAGTTATATTTGCTTTTTGTTGAGCCAAATCTTCTAGAATATCATATGGTTCAGCCATGGTAGCGAGTACAGGTAAAGCAATTTTACTTTTCTTTTTGCGAATAATCTTTTTAGCAAGTTCTTCTTCTACAGTTTTGGATGGTCCAGCATTATTCATATCCTGGTCAAGAATAACTTCAGGAGTATCTTCTTGTTCTTCTTCTTCATTGTCATTCAGTTCTTCAATTTCATTAACTATTTCTTTACGGGGTCGACCTACAGGTCTGGTTCCATAAGGAGTAGTTCTGGAATTTCTGGATTTCCTTTCAGCAGCCAAGTATTCATGTGTACCAAGTAACGAATTTACATTATCAGGTTTGGCAGTTAATGTTTGAATACTATCAGTAAGAGCTTGTATTTGAGCCAATAATGCATTCTGATTATTATTTACATCTTGGTTATTGCCAACATTTGCCTGATTTGGTGGTACATTATTTTGTTGCTGATTATTTCCATTCATTCTCTGGCGATTATTTCCAAAGTTGTTCTGATTATTCCGGTATGATTGTAACTTAGGACAATTAGGATGGATATGACCTGGCTCACCACAATTATAACAGGTTGAGACTGGTTTAGGATTTTGATTATTAGACCTATAACCTGAATTATTTCTGTTGTAATTGGATCCTTTATTGGTTTCAATACTTTCTATTCGCTGGTTGAGACCTTGAAGTGCTACCAATATAGCATTTAGTGTTGAGTTATCCTGAGTCTGGGATTGATGATATCCTCAGGTTGGTATGTCTGCATCTGCTTTTTCTACATTCTTTGCGACTTGTACCATATTTATGAAAGTTCCATCTGCTGAAATCTGAACCCATTTTCTGATCTCCGGTTTCAATCCTCTTCTATATGTTCGGATCTTATATTCTTCTGGGTATTCATTTTCCGGATCTACTTTACGAAGTAGATTAATGAATTTGTCTGTGTATTCTTCCACAGTACCAGTTTGTTGTAAGGTTTCAATTTCATCTTGCCATTGGTCAATTCTTTCTCGAGTTCTGAAGTGAGCTGTAAATTGATGACTGAAACTATGTGGTTGATCCTGATTATCACTCCAGGCTGTCAGTCGGGTGGCATTATTTCTTCCTCTTTCATCATACCATAAAGCAGCAGCACCTTCTAGATATCCTCTGACTAACTGTACTTTTCTGGCATCAGTAATACCATTAGCTTGGGTGGCAATATTAAAGTCTTTCAGCCATTCTGTTGGATCTTGATCATTTCCTCGGTATTTTCTAATTGGAATTATAATCTTCTCCATAGGCCGGTTATTCTGTGCAGCCATACTATTAGTTAATGCTCCAAGAGCAGCAATAAGTCCATCTAAATCTTGGGGTTGATTTTGTATCATGATGTTCTGATCAGGTTCTTCTTCTGAATCTGAATTATTTTCAGTTGTTACAGAATGTATGCTATTATTTTCTTCTGATTCTGGTTGGTTATCTTCTTCTGAAGAACTACTAGTTTCTTCTGGTTCTGAGGTTAATATAAGTTGTTCTGGGGATGCTGGTGAATCTTCTGAGTTTTTGGTTTCAGAATAATATCCGTCAATATCACTACTAACAGATGGTGTTCTTGGTTGAAAAGTAAAGTCTTGGTGGATGAACCGTTGATAGAATTGTTCAATTAAGTCAAGTTGTTCTTCTTGAGTATTGATACGGTCAAAGAGAAAAGTATTTACTAGTTGTACTATTCTCTGTTTCAATCGGCTTATGTGTATTTCAGTAAAATCAAGTTGAATTAATTCTTGAAATAATAGATATGTGATTTGATTAATTGATACTGCTCCAATATGTTCTGTAAGCAAACGAAATGTATAAAATTGTAAAGTGAAATTGGATTGAAGGGGATGACAATAGGGGCAATAATCTTGAGGGGGTATTCTAATAGGGTAGTTAGGGATTTGATGTGTGTCAAGATGAAAATTAATAGGTAATCCAATAAAAGAATAATAATTGGTCATGAAAACTCAAGACACAAATATTTATCAGTTATTGATAAAGAAAGAAAAAGGGTATAATAAAGAATATAAAAGGGTACAAATATAAAAAGGGGTGTGGAGGGGGTTTTCCTCCACAGAGGGGATACCAAAAATATGTTATGGTGAATCGGTAAGTGGGTTTTCACTTTGATTCACCCTAACGATATAGGGTTGGGAGAGACTGAAATAATAAAAGGTAAAGAGAGGGGAATTAGACTATAACTTTCAATAATGACAAAGGTTTCTAAGGCCTGTGCCAATATCTACGGATATTGTCTTAACAAAGGGTAATAAAATAAAGAAAGAATAAAATAAATCAAAGAAATTATAAAGATTGACTAAGTGAAGCCACTAGTAATCGATATAATTCAAGATTTGAATTGATTAAATAGTATAAACTATTAATCAAAGAAGACTATAATTAAAATAAAAGTAAAAATAAAATACAGAAACTAAATAACTAAACAAATAAAAAGGGTATGGCTTATTTATAGTAGAGGTCGTCTACTCTCAAAAACAAATAAAGAAATAAAACAAAAGGTGTGGCTTATTTATAGTAGAGGTCGTCTACTCTCAAAACAATATCAAATAAATCAAAAATCAAAATAACATTAATCAAAAATCCAAATCAACTTTGTATGGTCAAAGGAATAAAACCGAGTGAAAGAAAAGGTACTAATATAACAATTATATTTTCCAAACAATTCTTCAAAACCAAGAAAGGGTACTAGTATAATTTATAAGTTTCAAACAATTCTTTCAAATCTGTTTATTTCAGCTGGGATAGCAGGTCCTTTTATACATTTTTCAGATACAAAAATTATTATAGTATTACTAACTAATACTATCTAATATACATGTTATAATTTAAAATACTAATTATAAGTGGATTACGTTAAAGTACGTTGAAAGATGTTAAAGAATGTTGAAGAATGTCAGAGTACGTGAAAAGATATTAAAAGACGTGAAAAGATGTGAAGAGACATTGAAAGACGTGGAAAGACGTGAAAGAACATGAGAGAACGTCAAAGGATGTCAAAGAACGTGGAAAGACGTTTGAGATCGTCATCCAAATGTAACTGTTCCACCAAAATTAAAAATAGTCTTTCACTACACTATTCTACTATGTACATGAATATCGTAATACAAAATAATAAAAATGCAGATCCTAACTAAAAATAAAATAATATCTAAATATAGAAATGTGATAATATACTAATACGGGATAGTTATATGATGTAAAAATATAGAAATAATTATAAAATGTAAAAGTTATAAGAAAATGTGATTTTGCATAACCACGAAAAGATTAAGGAATTAGGGATTTTTATGCTACTATGGTAACATATGGTCCTCCTTCAGAAAATTTTTGCTCCTGCAAAAATCAATTAATAATCTTCAATAGTTCCTTCTTATTCAAGTGACGCAACTTGGTTGGTGTAAACTCAAATCTATTGTCAAAGGCTTCTTCTTCTGAGTTGTAAATAAAGTATACTTTATGAGTAACATTGTATGATCTATCATGTATACGTTTTCCAAGAGTATCTTCAATATTTTTTTTAATTTCTAATATTTCTCTTGAGTATTTTTGAGGTTGTACTGAGAGTATATATCCAAGTTTATAATATTGTTGCATCATTTGATTATTATTGTCCAAAGGATTATTATAAATTGATAGTACTGCTTCTTTAAGTTGAGTCAGCCAATCTTTTCCCAAGGTTGATTTAACTTCTTCTACGATAGATGTAGATGCTTCAGGTTTTTCTTCAGAGGTGGTTGAACTATCAGAACTTACAAATTCTGATTCTTCTTCAATATCTTCTTGTTTAACTTTAAATTCATCTTCAGATGAGGTAACAATAAAGGCATTCAACTAGTCAAATTCTAAGTCTGTAGTTGTATTAACTGGTTCAAGAGGTACTTCAAGAGGTTCGACAGTTGTTTGAGTGTCCAATAGAAAAGAAGTATCGAGTTCAACATCTTTGGTAAATCCAGGTTGCATTAATAAATCTAAGAGCGTAATATTGGTTTCATTTCCTGTATTATCGCAGGCGAGTAATCCAAAGGTAGAAAAGGTAATCATTCCAAAAGGTTGATGTGCAAGTATTTCTTGATAAATTTCTCCAAGAGCTTTGATCATTGAAGGGGTAATCCAAGTAGGTAATTGAGATATGATAAAGAGTAATAAAAGAAAAAGTAATAAAGAATTCAAAAAGGTATAAGGTAATAAGAGTAGAAAGTAATAGATAAAAGTAAAAATGTGAAAGAATAAAGAAAAAGGAAAAGGGAATAGAGGGGGTATTTATATAAAATTTGAACTAAAAATCTACTATAAGAGATAAGATATTAAAATGTTGAGATAAGGATAATTATAAAAATAGATAAAAATAAGACAGAAAAGAATTTCGAATATAGGAATGACAAAAATTAAAGGGGTAATCCATGTGAGTTACTCAATAATAATTTGTGGTTCAAAGTAATCTTGACGATCATGATAATGTTTGAGTTGTCTTCCATTAATAGAATACTTCAGAACATTTCCATTCTGGTCACGAAGTTTGTAAGAGTTATATCCAGCGTAGTCATGAATATAATACCATTCTTTACTCCAAGTAGGTTGAAATTTATCTCCAATTACTGAGTATTGTTTCATGTCAAATATTAATACTTTGTTTCCAATTTCGAATATTGTTTCTTTTTGAATTTTGTCATTATATATTTGAGAATATCGCAATTGTCATTCTTCTATATTTTGCTTTGCTTCTACTATTTGTTGTGGTAACTGATCTACTGTATTATATATTCGTTGTATTAATTTTTCTTCTTCTGTGGAGTTCTCTTCCAAATAAGCAGGAATTTTTAATTCTATTGGTAATTTAGCATTTCATCCATAGGTCAAGAAAAATGGTTCATGCTTTGTTGTTGAATTTTGATTTGTCCGATAAGCAAAAAGAGCAGCAGGAATGAAAGTATCCCATTCTTGTTCATGTGCTATTGTTAATTTTTGTAAGATCATACACAGTATTCTATTAAAGCGTTCTATTATTCCATTCGTTTGTGGATGATAAGATGAAGAAAATTTATGTTTGATTCCAAATTTTGTTGATAATTCTCTAACAATTTCATTGACAAATTCTAATCCATTGTCTGATTGAATTTCTTTAGGACATCCATGTCTACAGATTATTTCTTCAAAGATAAATTTTGCGATTGTAGTAGCTTTCTTGTCAGGAATGGCTTTAGCTTCAGGCCATTTTGTAAGATAGTCAATTGCTGTAATAATATATCAATTTCCAGTCATTGTGATTTTACTAGGTCCAATTAGGTCAATAACAATTCTGTCAAAAGGTTGTCCAATCTTGATAGGATGTAATGATTGTTTGGTAGTTCTTCCACCAGTTCGCTGGCAGATTTCACAAGTCTTCACATAATTCTTTATATCAGTTCCCATACCATTCCACCAGTATTTATTTGCAATTCGTTGATAGGTTCCTTCATATCCAAAATGTCCAGATAATGAGCTTGAATGTAAATTAATAAGAATAGCTTCCATTTCATTTTCTTTGATAACTCGAAGAGGTGTAGTTGGTTCTTTTCTTCTGTTAATTTTGTATAATATGCCATCAATTTGTAAAAAATGTTTTGCTTGATTATGAATTTTGCGTTGTTCTTCAAGAGTTGATCCTACAGGATAAGTTTTATTGTCCAAATATCATTGTAAATTGTAATAAGTTGTCAAATCCATGTTATTGTTGTTAAGAGAAAAGTTAATTAATGATCTTCCGAATACATCTGGGATAAAGCGTCAGCATTTTGATTTTTTCTTCCAGGTCGATAAGTAATAATAAAGGTATATTCCATAAGAGACATGATCCAACGGTTTACTCTAGCAGAATGACTTGATTGATTTTTAAATAACCATCTCAAGGCATTATGATCAGTAATTATTTCAAAAACTGTTCCAAGTAGATAATGGTGAAATTGTCTAACAGCCCATACTACTGCTAATGCTTCTTTTTCAGTTACTCCATACTTTTGTTCATTTGGTTTGAGTGTGACACTTGCATAAGCGACTACTTGTTCTCTTCCATCTTTATCTTTCTGAGATAAAACAGCTCCAAGTCCTGAGTCTGAGGCATCAGTATAAAGATAGAATTTCTTTGTAAAGTCAGGGTAGATTAAAATAGGTGCAGTTGTAAGGTGTCGTTTGATTTGTTGAAAAGCTTCTTCTTGATCTACAGTCCAAATGAATAATTCTTTGTTGCGAAGTAATTTAAATAGAGGTGCAGCGATCTGAGAAAATCCTTTAACAAATTTTCTGTAGTATCCAGCTAATCCAAGAAATGATCGGAGTCCTTTAATTGTTCTTGGTTGAGGAAAGTCTTGTATCTTCTGAATTGTTGATGGGTCAGGGGAAATTCCTTCTTCTGTTATTACATGTCCAAGAAATGGTAATTCTCTTCTGCAAAAGTTACATTTTTCTGGATTGAGTTTTAAATTGGCATTTCTGATTCTGCAAAATACTTTGTTGAGGTGATCCAAGTGTTCTTCAAAATCTTTGGAAAATACATTCAAGTCGTCAATGTACACATTGGCAAAATTCCAATTATATTCTCCAAGTACAGTATCCATAGCACGTTGAAAAGTAGCTGGGGCATTACATAATCCAAAAGGCATAACATTGAATTCAAATAATCCTTCTCTGGAGATGAAAGCAGTTTTAGGTTTATCTTCTTCTTTCATTTCAATTTGCCAGTATCCAGAGGTTAAGTCCATAGATGAAAACCAGTGAGCATTTCCAAGAGAGTCCATCATTTCATCAATTCTTGGTAATGGGTATGCATCTTTTCGGGTAATAGCATTTATTTTTCGGTAATCAACACAAAATCTTTTCTTTCCATTCTTTTTAGAGACTACAACAATAGGTGAAGCCCAAGGACTAGTTGATGGTCAAATAATATTAGCATCTAACATTCTTTTGATTTCTTCTGATATGAATGATTGGTCTGGAAGAGTAGTTCTGTAAGGTCGTTGTTTGATAGGTGATTCATTTCCAGTATGTATTTCATGTTGAATTATATTACTTCGGCCAAGTTCATGTAATTCAGTTGCAAATATATCAGCATTATCTTCCAATAGTTGAGTTAGGAGTCATTCTTGTTCAGCAGTTAATTTTCGTTGTTCAATAACTTTTTCTTCATGTTCTTGTTCCAAGAAATAGGTATAGGCTTCTTGATAGTCAGTAGATCCAAATCCAGCTGTTCCTCGGCTAGATTGTCCAAGTTCTTCTCTAGTAGAAACTGGTTTAAGTTGATCAATAGGTGCAAGTTGAAGAAATACGAGTTGAGCAATTTTCTGATCTGGTTCAATAATATAATCTTCTTCAGAATCATTTTGAATGATGATACTGATATTTCCAGTATATCCTGAGTCAATAGTTCCACCTTTAACATTGATTCCTTGTTTTGCGAGAGATGAGCGAGACATCACTTGACATACAACTCCTACAGGAATTTCTATGGCAATGTATATATCTACTAATATGACTCGATGTGAGGGAATTCTAATTGCTTCTTTTCCAGTATAGTAAACATCATATCCAGCATCAGTAGGATGTGCTTTTTCTGGCAATTTTCCTTTATCTTGATCATTATAAACTTTAACTGCGTAGTAACTAGTATTTTGTTCCACAGGGGCATCCTTTAAATAATTGTTAAACTGTTGTGAAAGTTCATTAAGAGCTTGATAAATAACATTGAATCTTTCATGTATTTCATTCAATTCGAGTTGAGGAGGCTGAGTTGATATAGGAGTGAAGTTGATTTCTTCAATTAGTTCATTGGTTACTGCTTCTTCTGGGATTGGTTCCAAAATCATAGGACGTTTTCCTTTATCTATCTTTACTGTATGTTCAGATTGTACACAATCATCGCATTTATCATTGTCACAAGGAATTAAGCATTCTTGACAGAGTTTCACATTAATATAATCTAAGCGAGCAAGCTGTTGTCTTCGGTTAGGACTGAGTTGTTGATAAATGTATTGAAATATTTCAGCAGCAGAGGCTTCTACAGAACCCTCATAGATGATTTCTTGAACATAGTCATCTTCATACATAAAGCGAGATAATATTGCTTTGCCAATTTCATCACATTCATCATAAACTTCCAATAGTGTTCCTCGATCTCTAAGCTTGTTAATGGTTTTGATATTCTTTCTCCATCCTCCATGATTAAACCAATAAACACATTGATGTTCATAAGTGCAGAAGTATTGTTTTTGATAACTTCCAGTAATAAACATTTCTCTGGATTCATTACGTTCACCACATTGTGAGCAGGCAGGTAGATTCAGTTGTTTTTCTCTGATACAATTATCACAGGCGGTTACTTTTTCTCCATTCATTTTGAAATACATTCCGGTATAATATTTATCTACATATTTTTCACATTCACGACATCTTTCAATTTGTGAATTGGGATGAATTTGTTGTGAGGCAGCTTGATATGAATCAAAACTTTTCTTGACTCTTTTATTAACGAAGAGTTCTTGTTCAACTTCATCAGCCCAGTCTTTATTAGTTTTGAATTCAACACGGAAAGGTTTATGAATCTTGATTGTGATCCAAGTAGCAAGTTCATCATAACATTGGTGACATTGGTGATCAGGCATGAAAAGATTTCGATAGCACCAGCATTGGCTGTTTGGTCCTCTCCAGTCAAATGACCATCAGTTATTCCAATTACAAGATTGAGTAAATTTCTTGTCAAGTCGTTTGAAATCTTTCCAAGTATATTTCTTCCATTTGATCTTGATTCCTTCCTGATAGGCTTGTACTTCATAAGTCCATTTAACACTTCGGATAATTTGTGAAGGTATATCTCCAAAGTCAACATCTCTTAAATTTCGTTTTGGAGTTGCAATAGGAGTCCAGGCTTCTTTTGTAATGATTTCAACACTATCATCATCTTGGAATTCTTGTTGTCTGGGAGTTACAGTATCCCAATCGTCATGTTGCCACATGAGAAAAGTCTTCTTCTCCAAATACTGTTTTTCAAATTCACTTTCTGAATCTTCTTCTGATTCATCTTCTTCAGAGGTAGTTTCATCAAATATCGGTTCTCCTCTATCACCATGGATAAATTTAATAGGCACTTTTCCTTTCTGATCATTGTATTCAAAAGTCATGAGTCCTTTTCTGATATCAATATTAGCTTTGATTTTGTTCAA